CGCCGACGCCAGGTCAGGGCGTGTAGGACACAGAGTTTTGGCCTTATTTTTCCCAGATGCTGCCACGCACCATTTCCCCCACCGATGTCACCGATAGAAAGCACAGTCTGAGCTGTTTCTGCAGCCGGTGACACGGAATGGATGGCATTTAATGCTCCGCGACAGAGCTCGGCGAGTGTGTGAGTGTGTGTGAGAGTATGAGTGTGTGTGTGAGTGTGTGAGAGTATGAGAGTGTGTGTTTGTGTGTGTGTGAGTGTGTGTGAGAGTATGAGTGTGTGTGTGAGTGTATGTGAGTGTGTGTGTGTGTGTACTTGGGGGGCGGAGGGAGCATGCACATATTTTACTCTTTGACAAGCCCTTCTATGAGTGTCAATCTTGGTATGTTTCTAACCAAGGGCAGAAAGGCCTGTGCTCAGTGAATGAAGGGGCCCCTTCCTCCACTCCTATCATTTGCCAATTTAAGGAAATCCTGTCCAGAGTGTCTGCCCGGTTCTGGGGTGTCTGCCCGGCTCTGGGGTGTCTGCCCAGCTCTGGGGTGTCTGCCCGGCTCTGGGGTGTCTGCCCAGCTCTGGGGTGTCTGCCCGGCTCTGGGGTGTCTGCCCAGCTCTGGGGTGTCTGCCCGGCTCTGGGGTGTCTGCCCAGCTCTGGGGTGTCTGCCCGGCTTGAGGGTGTCTGGCCGGCTCTGGGTGTCAGCCCGGCTCTGGGGTGTCTGCCTGGTTCTGGGGTGTCAGCCCGGCTCTGGGGTTCCTGCCCGGCTCTGGGGTTCCTGCCTGGCTCTGGGGTGTCTGCCCGGCTCTGGGTGTCAGCCCGGCTCTGGGTGTCAGCCCGGCTCTGGGTGTCAGCCCGGCTCTAGGTGTCAGCCCGGTTCTGAACATGAGACACACACACGCAGGGAGCACGTTCTCGGTGATAATGCTGTTTATTGTCCGCTGGCCGAGCGCTCACTCAGGAATGGTACAAAGCATCAGAGACATGCGCAGGCTGCCTGTCCACTGGCCACGGCTCGCGTGTGTTCCCAGCACAGGAAGGTCCTATCCCAGCAAACACACATTGCCCCCCAAAAGTTTCTATTTTTAAAAAAACACACAAAGAAATCCAACAAAATCCACAAAGCTTTAAATTATGGCAGCAAGTCCGATATTATCATCAAGCAAAGGGTGGAGGAGAACTACCATGTAAACTTTATTTAAATAGCGTGAGTTGCTGCGTGAAGACGCGGAGGGAGGAGTATAACATACATGAACAACGCCGAGCGGAGCCTCTGACCCCGTACGCGCTGCGAAGATCTACGTGCAGGTGCCTGAGCCGCTTTGGCAGTCGGCTGCCCCCTGGCCTTCCTTTCGGGTTTTTTTGGTGTTTTCCTGCTGGGCACGGCTCACAGGCCAACGGGCATGGATTAAATATGAAGGCCACCCTTTCAATCCTTTCTTTTGTAATAATTTGAACCAGAGAGAAGATGGGAGGCAGAAACAGCAACGATACTCAAAGAGGTCAGGCTGCGGCCGAGGGAGCCACCGCCCCGCTCACACTCTGGGCCAAATGCTTCCGAGATGCAGACACTTGGAAAAAAAAACAAGTGCCCGCCTACCGCCTACCGAGGGCCACAGAAACACAGCACGGGAACGGTCACAGCCGATGTCAGAGACAAACCGAACACGGGGGCAGCAGGAACGGGAGTCAAGGTTACACATGGGGACACCAGGCGGGAAGCACGGGCGGGCGTTCTGGTCTACACTGCGACCCCGGGACCGGTCCACCCCGACATCTCACAGACGTCCCCCCTGCACGCCCCGAAAGCCCTGGGCGGGGCCAATGCCTGGACCCCCTAGTCTGTGCCCAAAAGGGAAGTCATCCAAGTCCATGCCGACCAGGCCGCGGGCAGCCACGGGGCCGCGTGCCATGGGGAGACGGGGCCTGACGGGCACAGGGCACCGCAGAGCAGAGCAGTCTCAGAAGACGGTGACCGCCCGCGGGCCAGCGGCCCTGCCTCATGTGCGTGCGTGCGCACCCCCCTGTGCTTCTGTGGGTGTGGGTCTGCCTCACGAGCACGATAAACTCAGAACTGGCCGTCTTTACAAAACCAGCAGGGGCGGAAGGATTCTCTTCATTCTGCTGGGCAGGGCCTGCCCGTGGCCACCCCATGTGCCGGCGTCGGACAGCCATTCTTAGGGAGCACACAGGCCCCCGGCTCCCCCTGAATGAGGCTCCTGAATGGAGGCATCGTGGGAATGGAAGGACCATCAGCAGAGGGGGGCGCGCTGCACCTCGTTGGCCTGCAAGCCGAGAACTCATGGGAAGGAAAATGAGCGCCTCGCAAAGCCGCAACCGGCCCGGGGGCCCAGAAAGACCGGAGTCTCCCCGAAGCCGCCTGCGCCTCCCTAGGGACTTCATCAGACCCTTGGCTGGCTTCCCCCGCAGAGATCCAGGCACAGAGCGGCACTGTCAGTCTGGGGGGGGGCGGCGCATACTAAACCTCCGCCGATGGGGGGCCCAGCGGGACCCAGCTTTCCGTCCCCAGGAAGTAACACAGACAGCACAGCTAGCTCTGGCCACTGGCCCCAAGCAACTCCCCGCAAAGCCAATCCATGCAACTCCCTCTAGACATGGATGCCGGAGGAGGAGGAGGAGAAGGAGGAGGAGGAGGAGGAGGCGGCGGCGGCTGGAGGGACCTCAGAAGCTCAAGAACAAGCCAAGGGCAGCCAAGTGTCCCCCGACCTCTGTCCTCGGGGCAGAGCGTCTCACGCCCCCTAAGGGCTAGAGGAGGAGTGCAGGGGTGATGCCATGACCCACTGGTCACTCTCACATCGCCCCAGCCGGGGGAGGCCCCCCAGAATTCTCTGGGTGCAGAAGAGTAATCAGGGCTCCTTCCAGACCAAGCTGCTCCCCACACAGGAGTCGCTGGTTTGGGAGCCCGAGGTCAGCTCAGGGAGCCTGGGGGCGGGGGACTTGCAAGGGGTGGGGATGACACCCCAGGGCCAGAGGTGTGGAAGACACGCCCCTGTCAGGAGGGAGGGACCTGGTAGACCTGCTACACAGTCTTGCTACGACCCTGGAGTTTTTTCAAAATGCACATATCCAGGCTCTGCCCTGACCAGGCCGGGGGGAGGGGGACCCCTAGGTGCTGCCTGCTCAGCGTCTGTGACAGCGCCAGGATGGGCCTGGGAGGGAAGCCAGGTCCCACCCCTGCCCGCAGCCAGGATGGAGGCTGGCCGCACAGAGCCCAGGCTGGGGGCGCAGGGTGGGACCCACCTCTCCCTCCAGGACCACAGCTGTACGTAAGGGGCTACACGGGGGAGAATGACACTATTTAGACCCACTTGGATGACGGTTTTATTCATGCTATTTCCAGGAAGGGATGCCGGAGCTGGACCAGTCTACGCTCTTGGAGGCTTCCCATTGGCCGAGGGGCCGCGGCCTCTAGGGGTCCTGGATGTCGAGAAACTCCTGCTTGGGGGGCGCCGCCCCGCGGTACCAGGCGCAGGAGCCGTCGTTCCTCTTGATGCAGGCGAAGAACTTGGCCTGGTGCCCGTTGATGCTCTTCTCGGTGACCCAGTCCATCCACAGGCACTCGTCCACGGAGGAGATGTAGCAGGGGATCATGGGGCAGCGCGTGATCTGGGGGGGCAGGGAGGAGGACTCAGTGGGGACCTGGGCCGCGGGGCGGCTCCAGGACCCAGCAAGGCGCCTGGCGAAGGCGGCCGAGGGCAGTTTGTTGAATGAGTGACCGCCGGAGGGCAGCAGGGGGCTGGGGCTGGAGTGGAGGCGGCTGTCAGCAGCCTTTCCTGAGTGCCAGGCGATCCACACAGCAGCAGGCAGCCGCCCAGGGGGAGATGAAGCCGGTGCACCCCCCCTGCAGCCCCAGCCACCGCAGGCCGCCTCCACGCTGGGCCTGCTGGTCTACCTTCTCTGAGCCCAACAAAGCAACTCTACCTGAGCCCCGCCCTCCTGGGAGTAGGTGAGTAATAGCGACAACAAAGGGCCGGCCGGCGTGCCCAGTAGTGAGCGCTGACCTATGAACCAGGAGGTCACGGTTTGATTCCCAGTCAGGGCACAGGCCCGGGTTGTGACCTCAATGCCCACCATTGGTATTTCTCTCTCCTCTCCCTCTCCCTTCCTCTCTGAGATCAATAAAAATATATTAAAAACAACAACAACAAAGGGTCCGTGCTTCCCAAGACGCGGGAGGAATGGAGGGGCGGCACCCCGCTCTCAAGCACAGGGGCTCCGAGGGCATCAGCGCCCAGCACGGGGCCGAGGAAGCCGAGTCCAGCGGGTGAAACCTCCACGTGCAGGCACGTGGCTCTGACTCTGTGTTGGGCTCAGCGTGCGCTCAGCACACGGGGACTGCGGGTCGGAACCCTCACTCCGAAGGAGCTAAGGGCTGGGCAGGAGGCCAGCTACCAGGACGAGGAGGGGCAGGGGGGCTACATGCAGCGCCAGCCCCAGGGCCGCTCCCAGCAGCCTCTGTGGGACCGGCTCGTGCTGGGCCTGGCCCCCGGACTGAGGCTCACTCACTGGGGTGACTCAGGGGCGCCTGGTGCCCAGGGGGCTTCCTGCAATGGGCTGCGGGGCGGGAGCCCTGACGATGGCTCACCGTCTGCCACTGCAAGAGCGTCAGTGACGCGCCCTGGCTGGTGTGGCTCAGTGGATAGAGCGTCGGCCTACAGACTGAAGGGTCCCGGGTTTGATTCCGGTCAGGGGCACATGCCCGGCCTGGTTGCTCAAGCCCCAGTAGGGGGCGTGCAGGAGGCAGCTGATCCATGATTCTCTCTCATCATCGATGTTTCTCTCTCTCTCCTTCTCCCTTCCTCTCTAAAACCAATAAAATAAATTTTTAAAAAATTTAAAAAGCGTGTTAGTCACGCTCTCGCTGTACAGCACAACCTCTGGCCACTTTGTAAGAAGGGGGGCTGGGGTGTCTGGTGCGAAGGACACACAGACCCCACGTTCACAAGGGCCCACACGTGGAAATGGCTGCAACTCTGGCAAAGTGCAACCCCTGGGGCCTGTCACAGAGCAAGTACTGACACTTTTCTTTGTAGAAAATACTGACGGGACCATATTCTCCCCACAAAACTCCTCCTCCCAGGAGCTACGGTCACACGGCCAGGCGCCCCTTACTCGGCAGAGGCACGCCTCAGGGCTCGGTCCCCACCGACAGCCTCACCTGCGGGGAGGCCACATCTCCCAGAGTCCTGTGCTAAGTCCCGGCCCTGTGCCTAGAGAGGGCCGGGAAAGCTAGGGGTGAAACCCTGGCATCCACCTGGAGGCGGTGGCAGAGATGAGTTGAAGCCTGGAGGAGGCGGCGGCTTACCTTGCACTCACAGCCCATCTGGTACCTGTGGTTCAGGCTCTTCTTCTGGGTGGTGCTCAGGGTGTCCCAGGGCACAATGAAGTCACAGAGGGTGATGTGCATCTTGCCGCTCCCATCGGCCTTTCCTGGGGAGAGAAGGGGCCACCGAGCTCAGCGCAGGGCATGCCGCCTGCTTCCTCCGCCCACGCCTGCATCCAGGGCAGCCCGGGCACGGGGGAGTGTAGTTCTAAAGGCATCACGTGTTAAGGGCAGACTTGTACCCTAGCCGGTTTGGCTCAGTGGATAGAGCATTGGGCTTCAGGCTTAAGGGTTCCGGGTTTGATTCCGGTCAAGGGCACGAACCTCAGTTGCAGGCTCCTCCCTGGCCCGGGCCCTGGTCAGGGCTGGTGCAGAAGGCAACCAATGGATGTGTTTCTCTCACATCGATATTTCTGTCTTGCCCTCTTCCACTCCCTCCAAAAATCAATGGAAAAAACATCCTCGGGTGAGGATTAAAAAAAAAAAAGCAGCAGCAGCAGGGTGACCACCCGAGCACTTACTCTGAACCCTAATAACTAACAGGAGAAGGGTTCAGGGAGCCTTCGACACTTCAAAAAAAGACAGGTATTTTTTCCGACCCCTCCGTGCCCGGGCATGGCTACTGCATCCTCGCTTGGCATCCATGTCCCCTGTCCCTTGCCTTTCTTTTGCATCTTGCTCCCTCACCGCGTCGTAAGCATACGCCGGAAGGCTGGGTCTTGCACCTCTTAGCCGCAGCGCCCTGCCCTGCACGCAGCAGCTGCTCCACAGAAGTCCCCTGGGGAAGCCGTGGGGGTCCCCGCATCTGCCGCTTACCTGCTGTTGTGGCGGCTTTCCCCTCCGACCTTCCCACCAGCTCAAGCCTTAGCGGCAGCAGGCAGAGGCCGGCGAGGATACGAAACGCCAACGGCATCTTTTCAACAGCCCTAGTGGCTGGGCCAGCGGGCGCTTCGGAGGTCGTGGGTACACGGGGCAGCATCTCAGGGCGTTAAAAGGAGACCCCTTTCGGAATAGATCATTCAGATCTGATTGGGCCCGGCTGGTGTGGCCCACCCAGTGGTTGTGCGTCGGCCTATGACCCAGGAGGTCACAGTTGGATTCCTGGTCAGGACACAGGCCCAGGTTGCGGGCTCAATCCCCAGTGTGGGGCGTGCAGGAGGCACGGATTCTCTCTCATCATTGGTGTTTCTATCTCTCCCTCTCCCTTCCTCTCTGAAGTCAATAAAAATACACTTTAAAAAAATAAAAAAGACTCGCGTGGGCCTGCCTGGCTCGAGCATCTGCTACAACAGTCTACGTATGTCTGCCTCGGAGGAAAGCAATCTTTCTTGGATACAGAAAAACAGGAATTAATTAAAATCTGTCGCTGAGGGTTGCGTGTTCATTTTTCCTTGTGGGGCTCGAGAGGACTGGGGGAGAAAATTCCGGGGCCGAGTCCCTGAGAACCCCCAAACATGCGTGTCCAACTCGACACGTGAAGGTGAGTCACCAGCCCCAAAGGGGGCAGGCTGCCCCGGGCCATGTGGTCACTCCCAGGGCGGCAGCCAGCGCCCACAGAGTGGCTCGCTGCGCCCCCGGACTCCGGGAGAGAAAGATCTAGAATCCGTGGTTTCACCCGGGGCTGCCGCTGAGCCCGGGGGGGAGGTCGGGTTGCCAAAGGGCACACAGGTTCCTAGAACAGGGAGGTGTGGGGCCTGCAGAAGCCAGACAAGGTCCCCACACCCTTGGGAGCCAAGGGGAAGGAGCCGGGCCCTGCTCCTTCACAAGTGCCTGGCAGCCCTGCAGTTTGGGCGGACAGCCCCTAGAGGGCGGTGTGTCCCTCGCGGGCTCTTATTCTGTTTTTATTTTTCTTAATCCTCACCAGGGATATTTTCCCATTAATTTTTTTAAATGTTTTTATTGATGTTTTAGAGAGGGAGGAAGGGAGAAGGAGAGTGAGAAACATCGATCAGCTGCCTCCTGGGGATGGAGCCTGCAACCCGGGCACGTGCCCTGACCAGGAATTGAACTGGCGACATCTCGTGCATGGGACAGTGTTCAACCAACTGGGCCACTCTGGCCAGGGCTCCATTCGTTTTTAGAGACAGTGGAAGGCAGGGGGAGTGACAGAGAGGAACATCCACGTGAGAGAGTCACGTCGACGTTGCCTCCTGCCCGCGCCCTGACCAGGGGCGGAGATCGAGCCTGCACCGAGGTCCGTGCCCCCCACGTCCTCCTGTGGGTCCTCGGGTGCAGCACAAAGAGAGGACCCCGAAAACCAGAAGCCGCTGGTTTGCCACGGCAAGTCCCCTGTGCCACGGGGGATTCTGTCTCCTTTCTCTTCTCTCCAGATCGCATTTTTCTGATCATAAAAATAATCGCTGTCGTAATTTGCAAAACGGAGCCCATCCAGGGAAGTAGGAAAAGGAGACGTAAGCGATGATGAGACTGCCTCCCGCCGTTCGGGGCACAGGCCGAGCGGGCCCCGAGGCCGCTGGGGACGCCCGCACCTGTGGGTGCGCTAGCAGGTCGCCGCCTCCCTGCCTCTGGGACAGCAGTCGGGTCTCCGATCTCTGCATCCTGATGCCGTCCCCACCCCCTGCTCTCCGTTGGATGGCACTTTCCCATAAAAATCACGGTGCGGAAGGGAAGCCGGTGGGGCCGCCTTGGAGAGCCGTCTGGCGGTTCCTCAAATGATGAAAGAGCCACCATATGTCTCGCGATTCCACTCCTGGTATCCACCCCAGAGCAATGAAAACACACGTCCACGCAAAAACGCGTGCGCGGCTGTTCTAGCAGCACTTTCGCAATAACCCCGAGGTGGGAACAGCCCGTGTCCACAGAATGATGAATGGGGAGGTGGGTGGGGTGTATCCATTCAGTGGAGCATTACTGGGCCACAGAAAGGCGTGGAGGGCGGACACTGCTACAACACGCGTGATGCTGCGGGATAGGAGCCAGACGCGAGGACCACGAGGGACATGGTCCCATAACACAGAAGTCTGGAGCCGGGAAATCTCAAGTCAGAATCGGCGGGGGGCGGAGAAGGGGGGTTGGGGCGGTAAGAGCTGGGGTACACACTTCTGGGCTAGGGTGATGGCCGCACAGCCCTGTCAACACCAAAGCCACTGACTGTCTGTGGGTGAGCTGAACGGTGTGTGAATTCTATCGCAATGAAACTGCCAACAGAGCGCGGATCCTCTTAAAGCAGTGAGATGCTCAGAGGGCCCATAAGAGGGGGAACCTCCCATCGCCTCCAAGGGCAGGAGCCAAAGTCTCGATGTAGCAGCAAAGAAACCAGGGGCGGGGGCTGGGCATGGGCTGGCGGGAGGGAGGGACCCCTGGACAGACCGCAGGCCTCCTCCTCCCCCGGGGACCTGCGCTTAGGAATGGCGACTACGGTTAGTTACGTTCTGTGGCTTTTACCACAATGCACCACGGAGATGCCGGTGCACCATCAGATCAACAGATTAAAACGAGGTTCCCTCTTGGCCTCGGGCGCCTGTCCCCCGGCCCAGCCTGCGGCGCACGCACCTGCGATGAGATACTCCTTCTTGCCTCCGACGTCCAGCGAGACCCCGCAGATGGCGGAGGACGGGGCTGTGTAGATGAACTCGATGTCCCTGTCAGGTCCCTTGAACATCTGGAAAGATGATGGGGGGCCCGGGTCAGCCGAGTGGCCGCAGCTGCAAACTCCATGAACCCGGGGGCAGGGCCACAGCACATCCCATCAGCT